ATTTTATCTCTGAAGCAGACGACTTCTCAAAAATTGTAGACCAGTGAAATCGAACTTTATCTATATGGTGTCTCAAAACCTATTCCATCACTGGGTTAAGGCCCATGCTAGAATAAGAACACTAGCTAGCTACAACCATGTTTTAAAAAATTAAATATTGTAACTATGTTTGAGAACCATTTTCCTACACAGTTTTAGCCGGATATAAAAATCTAACGTAGACAGTGTTTTCCCCCCCCAAAATATATATTCCTAACAGAAACCACTGGCCCACCAACTCCATAGCACAGTTTCTAAGAATGCAATGAAAACAAGTATAAGGATGCCAGTGTTAATAATCAAGTCTTAGTGTATGTAGGGCCTTCAAGTGCCTCAAGAAAGTCACCAATTACAGGAAGAAGGCAACACACTTGGCATCTCATCATTAAGATTGAGCATTTCTTTCCCACCTTCTTCTTCAAGCCCTATATGGAAGGAACCCTTCCACCTACTGCAGGTCCTGAGCACTGATCACATACACTAGACCTACACTACTATAAAACATAAGGCGAGATCATGCCACCTCTTATATCTACACATGGAGGGGTCCCACTTGATATGGATCACTCCACTTCAACATAAAGGGGAGACTCAAGTTTTAGCTCTGTTCTCCCTACACCCATACCCAAGAACCCAGTGGAGTCTTCTCTGTGTGGTTCACCATCCTCAGTGGAGGAGGCAACTACTCAGTGGGCACAGAAGGGCAATTCAATTCATTCCCTTTCTGACCCTACAGAACTTATACAGAAAAATCAGGTTTCAGAGTGGTAGCCGTGTTAGTCTGTATCAGCAAAAACAATGAGGAGTCCTTGTGGCAACTCCTTGTGTTTGTTTTTTTTTTTTTTTTTTTTTTAAACAGAAAAATCAGTTTTTTCCATGATCAGAGATACTACCTTCTCAGTGTCAGCCCACCCTGCACCCTTGAGGGCCTCCACAGGTGGATGGAGTTGTTCCTAGTAGCATGACTGCTAGAAAAGATCCAGGAAGGTCACCTGGAGCACAGGATCTCCAGATGGTTGGCCCTGTCCTCTCAGGGATCTGTAAGATTTGCGGGCAAGCCCCACCGTTCTCACAGGGGGGATGGGGATGGTCATGGAGATTTTCACCAGGAAGTTCCTTTCTTCACCTTTCACAGGAGGGGGGGACAATTTGGCTTCAGAATACTTGAACCATACCAGGTGCAAATTCTCCCATGATAAGGAGAATACTTGCTCACCTGATGGCAATAACAATATTGACTTCTATGTAGCTCTTTTTTCCCCCCTTACAGTAAGCTTGTTAACAGTTAAGACATTCTAGTCCAATTTGGATACCTCTCAAATGATCTGTCAAAAAGACAGTGATTTATTCTACACAGTTAACTGCTATTATTTCACATCCAGATACAGCAATGATTTCATTCTAATGGGTGTTGCCTTCACAGCAGACACAAAATTTCTCCTTGCTGTCTATGGAATAAATATTAAACTATAACTACAAGTTTACTCCGTAGTACTGCTACAGGAATTAAAAATAATAAATTTCCTTAAAAAAAACTCTGAGCACAAGTGTTATAGTTTCCAGTCACTTGCAAAGCAGTTTGGACTACGGGTGAACAGACAGTCCAGTTTTCCAATCAGGTGACTATTTCTGAACAAAGATCAGTAAATTCATACTAACCACACCTCTGAACGCTCTTAATCAAGGGAACAGCTGAAAAATAAAACGGGAAACAGATCCAGAAAAAATAATGGAATACCAAAAAGAGATAATAAAGACGTAAAAAGCTATGAAGGTCAGCAACGTTTATGAGGGAAGTAATACCATCACTACCACTGGAAATTAGTAAACCAGCTATGTTAGGTATCAGGAAAAAGTTTGAGGGACTTTTTAGTTCCAAAAGAGAATACCAACTAACAAGTTCTGACTTGTCAGTCTTCAGAGGCAACACTGGGTGGGGGGGTGGGGGGGAGAGAGAGAGACTGACTTTTAAAACCATGAAGAGAAACAGCTTTCCAACAGTACCCAGAAATATAATGCAGGAAGCAAGACATGATAATTATGATTACAGTTTACACCGCTCAAACTGAGCATTATAAGGGAAGATTAACAGCTTAAAATATCCATTTAGTAGGACATGCTGAAAACTCAGCCAGTGAGAATGCCAAGCAATTTTGACAGAGTGCACTGTGCCTTACCATTCAGTACCTGTACTGTACAAATTCATATCAGGAGGCTCTCAGTACCATATCTGGGGGAGCTATCAAAAATTTCATTTATAACAGATACGTATTCACCTTAGAATTATTTTAGCATATCATTCTACATGCCTACTGAACATCCTTCATAACACAGCCACTACATGTTAACCACACACTGTAGTAAACTTGGAGAATGCGGTGAATAAGGGGTATCATCATGTTTATTTTAATCGGGCTCTTACACCATTTTTAATACAACCAAGGGCAAAACAAGATAAGTATTTTTGACGACATAGTTGAGTTTGATTAACAGCAAATCCCCTCCCCAAAAATCATTCACCCACATGCAAACAGACCTCTCTAAAAACATCATTTGAGGCATATGGCTTCTTAAATAGATTCTTTTCCATAGAGTCATGATCAGCACTGGGACACAGAACTCTTAGATCTTATCTAGGGTTTGATACTAGGCTTCTTTTGCTATCTTGGGTGAATCATTAGGTGTCTCTGCCTCAGTTCCCCCCACATCTGTAAAATGGGTAACAGAAACCACCTAACCTCACAAAGGCATTTTGTGCTTTTATGGTTTCAACATGCTTTGAACATAAAAGTGCTAAATACTTTGAAAATATTATGTTTTCTTTCTTTGCAAAATAAAGTTCAAAACAAATACATATTTACTGTAGACCAAAATAGCTATAGAAAACTGTATGTTTAACATAAAATGGCCAAAGTCCCATATTTTCAACTATATGGAAATCAATTTGAGAGAAAAGATTTCAAGTAAATGAAATGAAACTAAACATCAATAAAAAGATGGATCATGGGGGAGCAGTAAAAGGGAGCTTTATTGTTTTAGACTGCTTAACAGGTTTTATCTCCTGTGTTGCTGTTCTTTCTCGGTTCATCAAGCACAACCATGGTCTTTCAAAAGTTGGTTGTTTTGGGTCAAGAGTATCCAAGCTCTACCCAACTGAAAGCCATGTTGCCAGGAACCAGAGGGCTGCAACTATTTTACTTTAAATGGAGTAGATTACAGTGCTTCTCAACCAGAGTAGAGATGTCACATTGCAGGGACAACAATTCCCAAAATTTAGTGCTCCATCCTGCACTAAGCAGTTAAGTAAGATCATTCTGTAGAAGATGCAGCACTGTATGCTGGGACCTGTAATCTCAGAGTTGTACTTCCATACTAAAGAAGAGGTGGCTGTAGGACGTATATTTGATCCCCCACTTTGGGTGAATTAGCAAATTATACAAGTACTCTCCCTTCTCCAAGAACTATTAGAACAGTTTCACCAACAACCCAGGTGGCAACTGGATGACAGCAACCAAAGACACTGGGAGAGCAAATAGCATTGTACGAGGACATTCCCCAATGCATACCAAACATTAAGAATGAATGAATGAATGAATGAGACAAAGAAAACTGAAAAATAACTAAAGAACTGGCTTCTAAGAGCTTAATGACAAAAAAGATCAAATGGTATTTAAGATATCTTATCAGTGCCACAATTAAAACAGAAACAGACAAAATTTCCTTACCATCCAAATCTTGGTTGCTGTGGAAAGTTTGCCATGTTCAGCAAACATCCATCCATGATAGGAAAGCAGCATCTTCAGTGAGTATCGCATTGTCATAATAAGGGCTACCCACAGACCTGTGCCAAAAAGCATCCCACTCACAATGTTCTGCGTTTCGTTGGACATATAACCACTATTTAAAATAAAAGTCAGTTTACACCAATTAATGTCAGAAGAAGTAAAACAATGTATAAGAACTACAAAAGTGCTAACATGAGCCCTGCTTGTTCCCAGTGACTAGCTACATTAAGCCCTATATAGAGGTCCTATAGTTAACCTTTCACCAATAGATTTCTGGGAGAATTAGAGGGTTCTTTAGTCCATTAAAATCATTCTCCATTGTGTGGTGGTGAATTCCTCCGGCATAGGCAAACTCCATTGGGATAGGTCTGCCACCTCCTTTGCCAACCACCCTACATAAGACAGTTGTGTGCACATATGTAAGGGCTATTCTGGAGGCAGGGGATGATTAGGACGGGGAGGAAATAAGGTGTGTGTGCAGGAGCTCCAATATGCCTAATTCCTCACTGGTGTATGTCCCTAGGTTTCATCATAGGGTTGACCTTGAGCAACAGAAATTGAGGTAAAAGATGTTCACAGTAGTTTCCTTTGTGTAAATGCAGGTTGTTAGATCTTTTACTAATCTAGGCAAACTCAAAGAGGAGAGTGGCTGAATGGCAAAGGGAAGTTTCTCACTCCCTACAGGTGATCCTTCCTGCTCAGAGGTGAGACACACTGGAGGGTGCTGTGATGCAACTTGTACTTCAGCTGTCAATGCAGTACCTAGACTGTGGATAAACCAACTTCACCTTTTGAGGCCATTGCCAAGCTAGTCTCTTTCTACATGCTAAGTCCACTTTTTTCAATTGAGAGAGATAGAAAAAGTATGGATCAGAATTTTCTCTGGGGCATCAATTCTCGAAATCCTTAAAAATGACTATTAAAAAGGGAACTTTAAATAATATTTAAGTATTAGTAGCATCTTCTCCCACACACTTCCTCTCATCGTGCTGTAGGAATAGAGAAGAGGATAAATTCTGTTCTCATTCACCCTGGATTTACACTCGTAAGTCACTAGAAAGGTCCAACATGATTTAACATAATTCACCCAGATTCCTCAGTGACTGCAGACACAAGATGTGCAGAAAAGTGTGTTAAAATGGTAGGAACTGAGAGAAAGGTAGCATTAAATGATTTGACCTATTAGCCTTACCACTATATAAGAGAACAAATTCCTTCCTTCAGTCACAAGTACAAAAGAGTTTGTAGTTTCATCCTTGTCTCATTTGTGCATATCAGAAAATGACCACATACTCTGCCACTACTAAGAAAGGCCCAGAGCCGGAAGAGAAGTATGTTGCAAATGAGGATTGTGTGGGTTCCATCCCGCACAAGACTAACTTAGCAGAAGACACTGTAGAAAGCTTGCCTCATGTCTACCAGTGCTTTGCTTGGTTGTGGTCTGTACTATTCCTCCTCTGACAAGGAACGTTGGGGTAAAAAATACCACATAAAAGACTTTAGTGTTTATACCTTGTGCATGACAAATATATGTGGAATTCATAAAACAATATGCCCATCCAAGCTTGGCACGATAAGAATTCTTTTATTTAAATATATAGTGTCAAAAGTGCAGTTTATCATACACATACTCCCAACCACATTTGAAACACTTGGTGGTCTTCTGAAAATACTAACTGAAGTTATATTTCCAATCCAGCTAGTGAGATACATGCAATAGCTTTCTAAAGCAATAAAAAATAAGAGGCCTAAATTGATGCTCACAAGCTTCTGCATGACTTTGGAGGACTGAGCTTACAGTATTTACTGATGCTTCCAAATAGCTCTGGCTATTAGTAGCCTAATACTTACATAGCTGAACAAGTCAAAGAAGGTTTAAATCAATTTCTATAGTATAAATAGACTCATGGCAACATTTTGTAGTCAACAGTACTTCATACCTAAACAGAGACATGGATATAGTGTCCTGATATACATGTCAGTCTGCAGGTGAAACATCCCATTGAGATATCTTCACTTATTTTTTTATTTTCTTAAAATTGTCAATGAATTTAGCACTCAGAGGTACGTTGCCTAAGCCAGGCACATTGTAGGGCAGGGTTGTACAAGATTCCTCTTTACAGCCTCTGTTAATGTACTTCAGTCCTGTCCACAACACCTGTGCTGTCTGTTCTCGTCGGATGAAAAGCTATCAGTTGTACTCCTCAGATAATACTCATGCTAATAAAATGAGGTGGTAATAACAACATGGTGACTTGCACATTATATACTGTATTATGATTTAGTTCTTTAACTTAAAACTTGGTATGTGAAAGTCTATTAGATTATACATCTGTTTGACAAGAGAAATGCTGGTTTGCATAAAAAAACTGATTCATTCAGAAGAAATAGGTACTAGTCTACTTACGTGGTATCAAGGGTCCGGTTGATTTTAGCTATTATTCCTAAAGAAGGATCAATTCTGGCATACATTGTTGACATCACCCCCACTACTACAATAAGCCAACTGGATGGGCTAGCAGGATACACGCCTGTGATAATTCCATTCTGGAAAAACAGAATCCCTTACTTAGCCTTCCCATACGAAAGTCATTTATTTCACAATACAAAAAAAAAATCTTAATTATACAAACAGCTTTTAAGAGGACACTAACATTAATATCCAATATTTTTCTTCCAAATACAAGTCTAACTCAGAACAAGGAGATGGACACAGATGAGAAGACTAGATTGGGAGGAAGAAGCAATTGTGATTCAGAAGCTGTTATACCCAGATGATGCATGAAATGAGCTTAGAGAGATTCTCAGTTATATATCAAATTATGTATATGTATATGTATATGTATATGTATATGTATATGTATATGTATATGTATATGTATTTATTTGCCCACCCAAACTGCAAGCCTTGTGCAAGCGTGAAGCAGCACCAGGAGGGCTGCACTTTGCAGTGGGGAAGACTGCTAAAGAGAGGCTAAAATGAATGGATCTCTTTAGCACAAATAACTCTTTAATGGAACATCCACTTCATCTGAAAATGGCCTCTCTAAAACAGATGCTCAGTGTGGCAGCAACATTTTATCAATTTGGATTCTAAAAACACAGCTAAGTTTTCTATATAATTAAAACAGTTCTCTACACACAGTTATATAAGAATCCCAAGTATACTTCTATATTTATAATAAAACTATTTTAGACAGTAATTTCAGTATTTCACATACAGTTATGTCAGACTACAGTCTGTCAACACTAATAGTAATAATGCATAAATAAGCATAATGTAAAAAAACAGACATTTGGAAAAAAGCACAGTGAATACACAACAATCTAGACCCCAATACTTAGAATTTAATGTAAAACCCAGATTTGACTTTTTAAGTGTTCCACGCATCAGAGATCCACTATCTATTTCTTAGTTTAATTTACTAGAACACATTTGTGTAACATTAGAATCTTCAAAAAGTCATGTTTTCATGAATATTTGTTTTGACAGTTTGGAAACTTAATTTTGACAGAAAGTATGCACAATCACGGTTTTACTGTAAATTCTTATGTATGTGAAAATTTAGACATGGGAATAATTCAGTGAGGCTTCTCTGTAAGTAATGAGAAGCATACACGTTTGGAAGACTGGGGCCTAGAAGAGCCAAAATTTTGTTTAATCAGATTGAGAAAAGTTTGTCACTCTTGAAGTGACTACCTACTCTAATTTAAACACTATGTTAGTTCACTCCTGGTTTTCTCATTAACAATATGACCACCAAATGTGACAACCCAGGTTATGCTACTTCTGGGTATTTTGGGATTTGGACTATTGTTAACTGAAGAGCGAAGGAAGAACCCTACCATTAGATTTATTTAATTTTTACTCATGGGGGAATTCTGCACCACTGTACAATGCAGAATTAGCTCAGAATTAATGTTCTGTGCAGAATTTCATTTCCCCCTGCAGAATGGTGCTGCAGAGCTGCTGGCTGCCATTATGGGCAGCTGGACCCAGCAGAGCCCAGCTCACAAATACAGGACACTGCCGGGGGAAGGAGGAGGGAAAGGGGATGCTGGAGGGTTTCCGGCAGTTGCGTTCCCAGCACATCCTGAAGGAAGGAGGCAGCATGCAGGAAACTCTGTACGTGCCCGGGACTCAACATCAGGCTGTCTCGCTCTCTGGATCCCTGGGCGGTACAGGGGGTGGGTGTCTGAGCTGGGGGGGGGGCAATCATGCAGCTCTTCTCTGGAGGGTACTGGGCTGGGGTAAGCCATGCAGGTGGGCTCTGGGAGGTAGAGGGTGTGGGTGTCTGAGACCGGAGGGGCAGAGTTAACCCCCAAAATGTGCCCAGTTGGCATGCGTGACACACCCATACTGAGGTGTCCAACAAAAGCATAATAGAGAAACAGGAACTGGGTTGTCGTAGGGGTTTCATTAATTCTCTACTCCTGGGGGGAATCTCTTTTGTTGTCTGTATTGTTACAGACATACTGGCTGACAGGTATTTGAAATAAATTAGCAAAATAATTGAAACTCGTATAATTATGTAGTGTTATATAGACAAATAAAATATACAACATTTTTAATTTTTGGCACAGAATTCCCTCAGGGGTAAAATTTAGAACAGCACCGGGGCCTCATATATAAAAGGCAAATAAAAATGCCTCAATGTTAGCCTTCACATAGCTATTTTACTGTTTCCACAAAATATCACTCGGTGCTAAGTTCTTCAGCATAACTCAATGTTTGCACTTATAACTGAGAACAAAATTGGCATGTTAGAATAAAAAGACTGATTAAATCAGGATGAATGATGATCATTTTCCATAGCTACATCAATATTTAGTTCTACTCATGCAAAATCCAAGCAAGTTTTAAAAATACCAAATAGGTTTGGATTATGCATTCAAACCTACAGGAACTCAATACCTTGAATCTGATGAACTTCTTTTTCCAGGAATGGAGACCAGAAAGATAGATCTGTCTGAGAGCCTCATGGCTCATTCGCAGGTCAATCCCATCTGGAGTTACTGTAAATTGAAACGCTACTGCTTGATGGGCTTCTGCCATTTTCAAAAAGTGTTCTGCCAAAAGAAAAAAGTTAAAAATTATATAAAACAAATCTGATTTTACTATCCCAGAGACTACTCCAGGTCCAGAAGCTACTCCATTTCCAGTGAAACATCCCTGGCTTGCTCAATTTCCCAATATTTTTGGGAGATATCATGAAGTGGGCTGCAATTATGTACAGTACTACCCAATTCCATATGGCCTATTTCAGACAGATGGCCCGTGCAATAGAGGAAATCTCAGTAGATGATCTAATGTTCCCCTTCTAGCCTTAATTTATGAGTCTATAAATAGGAGTCTTATCTTCTCCCAATTATATTAGGTTTTTCCGCTGGTAAAATTAACCAAATGGTGTGTATATCTGCAGAATGGAGGTAGCGTATGTCTGCTATATATTCGTTTTAAAAGATTTTAGTTTTAATATAAAGGGATTAGGTAATAAGCATTTTAAAAATATTTTTAATCTGAATGTCTCAAATATACAGACATATTAGCTCCCATGGAAAAATAACCTAGCCTCTCCAAAAGTTCAGATTTAAGAAAAAAAGTGATGCAATGAGAATCACCTCATCAGTATGAGCCCTGAAAACAAACAGTGTCTGTTGCTTAGATTACTACACCCCTAGAGACACGGAAAAATCTCATGGCAATAGTTTTCCTTCAGCAACAGTGTTTTCCCCAGGAATTGAAATTAGGGGGGTGGTAGTGTTTGAATATACGGGGGGGAGGGAATGGGAATAGCTGACATGGGGTGAGACCATTAAGGCGAAGGTGGGCTGTATGGCACAATAATAAAAACTGAAAAATGTTTCACGACCATTTTATTAGATTTAACTCATGTTTCAAAATCATCACACAAATTAAAGTTAGCTACTCAATCCTACTATGAAGCATGTACTACATCTACATCCTTCTTGGTCTCCTGTTGTAATTTTGCACAACTCTGTTAATGAACTTCTCGAATGCAGTGCATTCATCTTTGGTGGCTTCTCATGTGTCTGGTACTTCCGGTTCTTCGTGATATTCTCATGATTAGGCAGAAGGCAGAATGAGGAAATTCAATGAGGAAAAAGAATGTTCAACTATAGCTGTTGTGACTGGGAGTAGCAAGAGATGAATTCCTACTTCTTTCATCACAGGAAACATAGCACAAAGATTGGGTCGAACCACTAGTGATGATAAAGAAGAAGTTGAAATCAAATCTTCATTCATTCATCATATGATATTCCACTCTGCGTTCAAATTCTCTGTTCTGTCCTGATCACATAGCAGCCCCATTGGCAGTAGTGCCTCACTCCACTTAACTGTTAGTGTTTTATAAGACAGGCATCTGTAAAAGCTGAACAGGGGTTTAGTAGAATCTAGAAGTTGCTGTTGTAGATTTGTAAGAATCAAGTCTGTGTACTTCTTCAGCTGGCTTAACAAACACTTTTTGTCCTCTTTAGTCAACTTCTGAACTGAAGTCTTTGCTTCTTCCAGTATGTTTTCAATGGCTCTCTTGCCGATTGATCTAAGGCTATGTCTTCACTACGGGGGGGGTAGGGTCGATTTAAGATATGCAAATTCAGCTACGCGAATAGCGTAGCTGAATTCGACGTATCGCAGCCGACTTACCCCGCTGAAAGGACGGTGACAAAATCGACCTCCGCGGCTTCCCGTCGACGGCGCTTACTCCCACCTCCGCTGGTGGAGTAAGAGCGTCGATTCGGGGATCGATTGTCGCGTCCCGACGAGACGCGATAATTCGATCCCCGAGAGGTCGATTTCTACCCGCCGATTCAGGCGGGTAGTGTAGACCTAGCCCAAGTGTAGCTTCTATTGCTTGACAAAGATCTACTACTCTTGTACCAGATGCCTGGATGGCATTGTTTAATAACTCAAGTGGTTTCAACAATAGACTTACTAGAGAGAATGGCAATAGTCTTCTACTTTTGCTACTAAGTTCAGAGTTCACCAGCCTCACTACTTAGATCCGTCCCATCTTGGTAGATACTTTCCAAAGTCAATAATAACGATTGCTGTAATTTTAAGACAACAGCCAAGGATTGCTTATGAGAAAGCCAGCAGGTTTTCTCAGGTTGGACTCATCTGAACTTCAGTCCTAGTGTATCTTCTATTTTTTCCCAAGACGTTCAGTCCTTTTGGACTCTTGCTGAAAAAAAAAAAAAAGTATAACAAACACATACAGCCGATATGTCTTCTTCTATAACCTGAACATCTAGAAATGCATCTACTGGCCTACCACTGATAACAAGATAATGTACACAATGACTTAATACTTGATGCCCATTTGCATCAGTGCATTCATCGGCCATGTATGCACATTTTCTGAATGCGGTGAGAGTTCTTCACTTTTTCAACTGCTGAGTCTTTCACTGTTGCACCACATGCTTCTAACCAGTCAGTTGAGTTTCTTGCAGAAAGATAGTGAGCCTCTGCTCGTGTTGGTCGGAATCAATGTCCAATTTCAGAATTAACAAGTGACAATGCACTTAACATTGGTCCCCAGTTTGTAGTGTGTGGTATCTCTTGCTTAAATAGAAAGTATGATGAGACAGCCATGTTTGTTTGCATAAACTGTGTTGTCTCTCCAGCATTATTAACAGCCTCATTAAGTACTTCTAAATTGGCTCTGACAGTGACTGGTTTATAAGGTTTTCTGCATGTCAATGAAGTCCACAGGCTTGGTATTTTGCAGCCTTTTCACAAAGGTTGTCAGCATTGGTTTGCTGATCAGTCTGGCAAACCAAACTCCTTCACTTTCACTATATAAATTCATGGTATGCCAACATCTTGAATACTGTGTGCAGTTCTGGTCACCCCATTTCAAAAATAGATATATTGCAGTTGGAAAAGGCACAGATAAAGGCAACTAAAATTATTAAGGATATGGAACATTTTCCACATGAGGAGAGATTAATAAGATTTGGACTTTTCAGCTTGGAAAAGAGACAACTAAGGGGATATGATAGAGGTCTATAAAATCTTGACTGATGTGGAAAAAGTAAATAAGGAAATGTTATTTACTACTTCACATAACACAAGAACTAGGGGTCACCCAATAAAAGTAATAGGCAGCAGGTTTAAAGCAAACAAAAGGAAGTATTTCTTCATACAACACACAGTCAACCCATGGAACTTTTTGCCAGGGGATGTTGTGAAGGCGAAAACTATAACAGGGTTCAAAAAAGAACCGTATATACTCGATCATAAGCTGGTTCATTTATAAGCCGACCCCCCCAAGATGGATAAGTAAAAATGGAAAAATTTTTATAACCCGTTCATAAGCCAACCCTATAATTCAGGGGTCAGCAAACGTTGGCTCCCAGGCCATCAGGATAAGCTGCTGGTGGTCTGAGATGGTTTGTTTACCAAGTAAACAAAGTGTCCCGGCGCACCAGCTGCTTCCCCTGACGGGCCGGGACAGCAACTGGTGGGGAATTTTTTGGGGGGGGGGGGGAGAAGCTGGGAGTCAGGGGAGTAACCCCTGCGACTACCCCCCACATGACCCCATCCTTAGCCCGGGACCCCCACACTCTCCCCATCCCATCCCTTCTCACCTTATCTGGGGAGGGCTAGGAGAGGATGTCTCTGACCTGGCTGGAGCTGTTCCAGCAGGCCAGACCGGGCAGTGCGGCCGCAGCATGTTCTAGCGGGCTGGGCGGCGTGGCCACAGCGTGCTCCGGCAGGCCGGGCAGCGCGGCCACAGCGTGCTCCGGCAGGCCGGGCAGCGCGGCCACAGCGTGCTC